CACTTAACCAAAGCAGCGCCCTTCCCCTCTCCCGGCGACATTTTCAATTTTTTCTTCTTCTTTTTGCCATTTTTTTCTTCCTCTTCTTTTACTGGACATGTTTTTACATATTTTGGCGTTTTTTTTTAATCCAAATATGAAATTTTTGTTGTCACAAAAGCTTCTCAAAAGAAAAATGATTTGCTACTGTGTGTCTTTGTGTGTGTTTTAGAATGTGTTCGGCTCACTTGTTTGTTTGAAGAAGAAAAAATGGTCTCTTGTCAAAAGAATCTGATATTGAGAGGAGGAGGAGTGAAAATTGGAGGAGAAATGTGTGAAAATTAGGTGGGGTCTATATTATTTTAAGAAAAGAAAAAGAATAAACCTAATTTTAGGTAGGCAACTCGAGTCCCAGAGAGTGTATTTCACGCGATGGAGGCTGACATGGTCGGGTGCTTAGTTGATCTTCTTTTGTGAATAAATAAAGTGTCTAGTTGGAAATGGACTCAATTGAGGTGTACAATTGATCGTTGAGCACAACTCAAAGAGGCGCTTTATATATTTCACCTTTTAAAAATATTGAGTGTAGTTCTCGTTTTGAATTTTATAACTCTAAAGTTGAAAATGTGGTGGTAGCTTTGGTTAGTGTGGTGTTATTAACTCACATGAGTCTTACTTTCTGAAACGTTTTTATACTGACAAGATAACTGAACTAATTTGGAGACTATTACTGTTTTTTTTTTTTTTTTTTTTTTGAGTAATAAGAGGGAGTTATATATTGCATATTAAGTAGTAGTTAACATATTACAACCCATATTGTCAGTACCAAATTACAAGTAGAAGTTGACACTTGCTTCACGAAACAACTTTCCCTGCATAAGTCTTTATCATAAAGATGCTTCACAAAAGGTGGTGGATCAGCAAAAAGTTTTGTATCTCCTGGCTTGTAACATTTGTTTTCTTTATTTTTTGCTTCCTTGGCTAGTGCGTCCGCCACTGTATTCCCTTGTCTGAAGTTATGTCGTAGAAGAAGGCCCTTTTCCTGGCGCATTAATGATCTGCATGATTGAATTAGATTAGTTAAAGTTGGATGTCCATTATTGATGGAGATTATTACTGTTAAAACAAGATACTATGGACAAAACGATCACAGGAAATTTGATCAAATTTTAAGTAGAATTTGATCACCGGACAAACTGAAAGCTAGGTTTTATCAAAGTTCTTAATATCTATTAAAAGTTTAAAATCCTATTTTCGACTTTTGTTCCTCTGAGTATAAACCCAAAACATAATAAACCCCATAATCCTGTCCATCAACCACACAAGTCTTGCTAAGGGCGAAAATGGATGACGTAAATGACACTTCCTTTTTTTTTTCTCCTTCCTAATATTGACTTCTGATAAAAGACAAATGGTTATACTTGCCTTTGAATATTGTCTTTCTGTTATAAAACAATAAAAGAAGAAGAAGAGAATTGCAGAGAAAATTAGGGAGAGAGAATTCTTATTGATTTTGGGATTAATTACAATGGAATAGAACCCCTCTATTTATATGGGAAAAGTGACTTAGTCACCAAGTAACAAACCTTAAAATCTCTTTAAAATATTGACATTCACCTTAAATAGAATTCTATTTATAACACTCCCCCTTGAATATCTATCCAACAGATAATGTGCCTCATTAAAACCTTAACTAAAATAAAACCCAGTGGGAAAAAATTCTAGAGAAGAAAAAAGAGTACACATGTTTAGAAATACGTCTTTTGGTTGCCTCGTTAAAAACCTTGCAAGGAAAACCCATTGGGACAAAACCTTGTAAGGAAAAAAGAGTACAACGCGTATTAACTCCCCCTGATGAGAGCATCAATTCACATCCTTGAGCCTTCGCATTCCAATCTTGTACACTAGCTTCTTTAAAGTTGACGTCGGTAGAGATTTGGTGAACAAATCAGCCATATTAACTTGAATGAATATGTTGCACCTTGAAATCATTCCCGATAGAGATGAATTGTCTTCATATGATATTATTGGATCGTCATTTCAATATCATCACATAGGGGCAAAAACTCTTGCTATCATATTATCATGCGTATAATTATAACATGATACATTTGTGCACAAATTGCGCTGAGGATGTGGTACTTCAAGATTAAGAATTGTATATGATTTAAGCAATTTAAATAGACTTTAGATGCATATCAACTTTTCATATCATGCTATACATATAAAATACATGAAAGTGATTTCACACACCTATTGACATTATACTTTCGAGTGTTTGAACTATATGTCAAACTATATGTCTTTCATATGAAACCAATTCTACTTGAATTGTTTCTTCAGACTTAAGATCCTCATATATATTTAACGCTATTATAGATGTCGTCGACAAACATTTTATATCGGTTCCAGCCTCCTTATTTTCATATAGACATAACATAGAGATCTCTTCATTCATATATTCAGGTACCTGAATCTCTCCTAAGATTTTATGACGTTATGTCATGTGGTCTTCTAGATCATTTGCCTCCTTTATTATGATCATTTTGATCATTTGCTCATCTTCTTTATCAAGAAGTTTATTTGAAACCGATTTGTCTATACGTTTTAAGTTACCATAGACTTTGTCCTTCTAGGACTTAATAGGAGCATTTGCAATGAGAATATAGTTACTTTCTTTAGGTCGGAAAATGCGTCTGGCATGCTTTGCGATATATTGCAAATGAATTTTCCTTTTATGAACTTCAAGTTCATATTATTTCATTCGAGGATCTAGATGTACACATGATAATTCATTCCACGTAACTTTTTCTCAACTGTTTATCATGTCTCCCCCTCATGTTAGAAAAACTAACTTGTTTCCTCAACTTTGAGAACCCAGCTTTGTGCGTTATGGTGTTAATCAAAATATACACCGCACATCAATAATAATAAGATTGAATTATTTGGTTCCTGACCCTGAACCACTCGTGAGGGAAGAAATTAATATACTTTCGTATATAACGTATATCAAACTGATATAGATATTTTTGTTCTCATAAGCAATAGTTTAGCTATTAAGTGGAGGCACTCAATAAATCATCTTGCTAAACTAGTTGTGATGTAAACCATATTGCGGGTTACTAATAATTTTACATGTAACCATCTCATAGATGCATCTTATGTGGTATACATGACAGGTGAATGAGCCCATATTCACCTTTGATATTTCCAGCATTCATGGGATTCAATCCCAATTTTAGTTGGTCTATTAATTAATAAGAACAAGCAACATAAGAGAATTCGTAAAGAACTTTCTAGTTCTTTAATATTTACCCATGTGAATTCTATTTTATTTTTGCACATCATACTTAAATTAACATGGCTAAACCAATTATGCCAACTGAATAAATTATCAATATTGATAAAGTTCAGATTTATGCCATGACGTGTGCAATTATCAATAAACTCCAAGTTTATTATGATATGGATTTTTATATCAATAAACATCCACCTTATTGTGGCATTCTTTTATTTGTGTGGTACAAACTAGAGAGTAAAGCGGGTAACTTTTCACATACATATTACTCCGCTACAAGTTGTAGTAATGGAAGATATTAAATCTTTCCTTTTATTTATAGTCTCAATATAACCAACCGCTTTCGCGAATACTTTAGAAACTCAATTAAGTTTCTTTGAGACTTACTACAACATAATGCCTTATTGATAATCAATTTTGTTCCTCCAAAATAGTAATAATTGGCTCTTCCAGAGCTCTTAATTAATTTTGTAGTACCACATATTCATCAACATCCATATGGTGAATATCTCTTTCAAAGAGAAAGTTATACCATTATGGTAATTGTCAAAATTATATGCAAGATCTATTTCTTGCATCACTGTTGTCCTTTAATAATCACATTACCAAATTATTTTGGCGTACAATAGGTACATAACCAGTGATCACTCATGCCATAATAATGACATTATTTTCTTATATCATCTCAAACCTCCTTCTAGAGGTGAGTGTGGTATATTCACTACCACTAGCACGTTCATATTCTTCCAAGAATGAATATATATTCATAAATCAGATGTTGTCACATTCACATCATGAATAGACCATAATCATCTATATGTGATTCATAAAATCTCATGTCAAATTGATGACAAATATTACTTTCACAGAGTGAACGATTATTTTTAGAATCCTTATTATTCTCATTATCACAATGATGACGATTATAATTTCGTCTATTGCCACGTCCACATCCATTGATACCTTCACGGTAATAATTTTGTCATCTTTCAGACTTATTACATATTGCTAGCACATTCTCTTAAGGGAATGAGGATGAAGCAAATTCAATGGGACGTGTTTCTACTTCTTGTGCTCACGATCATACATGACTTTGATCATGGAAAGACATAGAAATTTTACCACTTCGGGCGATTATAAGTTCTCACAAACTCTATTAGAGTTATAATCAAAGTTTATTGTCTTTGTTTGTATATAAAATCAAATTATAGAATAAAGAGAAAACTATGGTAAAACACTTACCTTAAATCCAGAATTTAATCATGAAGGAAGTTCATGGAACAATTGACAATCATTATGCTCAATCCCAACGCTTCTACTCAATTGGTTAGAGTCTCGTACTGATAACGTGTTATAAAACAACAAAAGAAGAAAGAAGAGTATTGCAGAGAAAAGTAGGGAGAGAGAATTCTTATTGATTTTGGGATTAATTACAATGGAATAGAACCGTTCTATTTATATGGAAAAGTGACTTAGCCACCAAGTAACAAATCCTAAAATCTCTCTGAAATATTGACATTCACGTTAAATAGAATTCTATTTATAACACTTTCGTTATTGTGATTCATTTTCATCCTTGCAAAACTAATTTCGCTAGAAGACAACTTTGCAAATCAAAAGAAGTGCGTACATCTTGAGAAAAATGGTGGTAGCTGGAGTGGACGATAGATTCCAGCCCGTAACAACTTAAGGTAATTAACAAGAAGTGACGAGAGGGATGAAGTAGAAATAAAATTTGAATCTTCACGATAATATATCATATATAAGAGTGGGAAGTCAATACTGGTAAGACATTTCTTGTTTTTTTTTTTTTTTTTTTTTTTTTTTTTTGGGGGTCTCTTTGCAGATTAAGCACATTTTTCAACCTTATCGCAAAAAGATTAAACACACATCAAAGAACTATCAAAAAGAAAGAAAAAAAAAATAGAATTATACACACAACAGCACACCTCAAGGATAATCAGATCCTATCCATTGATTCTATCATCCTCTGGCTTAAGATCTCTATTTGTCAGTTCTTCTACAATAATTTAAACAGCAACCAGATCAGCTACTATTGCTGGTAGTCAGTCCGGTAAGCACTATCACTGACAGTAGTCCGATTAGACTCTCCAATTTCAGATGCCATGGCAATTACATCAGGTGGTATGTTCAAAGTTCCACTTCTTCTTCCCCAACTAGAGCGTCTGGGATGTAGGATACTACGCCCCTCAGCCAAGGTGGAGTTGCTTAGCTCTGGGGATGCAGCCGAGAGCTCTTCATCCTTATCTAACTGACTATCATTTCTAGGTTGTCCTTCAAAATCACCGCTTCCTCTTGCAATCTCACGCCAAGCTGGTTTCCTTCCCATTTCTAAGTCGCTCATAGTTTTCTCCAAGTTCGGACTAACAAAACCACCAGCCACTTCACGAGCTGGTATCTCGGGTTCTTTCTGTACTTTGGCCCTGAATCTATTCATGGAAGGAGGAATACTGGTGCAGAATATCTCTAAGAAGTTACGGAGTACACCTTTGTCAAAGGGATTGATCCGCCGATCATATCGATATCTAAAGTTCTCATATGTCGACTGCAAGCACATAGAAGAGTCAACTATCAAAAACAAGTACTTTAATCCTAGAAATTGAAGGCCTTCACGAGTTCGAATCATTTAGAGAACTGAAGCAGGAAAATTCTTTGGATATGAAAAAAAAAGGAAAAAGAAGGGAAAACATCTGAAATGCCACAGCTGTGGAAGAATATATTACCTGGTTTGTGCCGATAAGATAAAGATGGAAGACAGTCAGGCCACCAACAAACCAGACTGATATGAATGTATAAATGATTAACACAATAGAGGCAGGAGTCTTGGCCATTGCTTTCCAGACTGTGGTCTGCTCACCATCCATGATCCTTCTAATATAGACCCAGCAGAAGCCATGAACGTATAAGCAAAGAAGAGTTGTTGAGAAGACAAACATGAAGAAGAAACGGTAATTCCTCTGCACAACCAAACAGAACATTGTTCAAATTTGAAGCTAAAGCATTAAAGTGAAATTTTCTATGAAGGCACTAACAAAAGTAGAATCTTTGCTGTCACACTAGCAGAACAGTTTCCAGCGTAATCTGGAAAAACAAGTTCTAACAATTTATTTCCACAACTTTAAGACAAGATGTCCTCATCACAACAAGGGAGACAACCAAGATGTGCTAACTGGATTAAGTGAAGAGAAGATGCGCAGAAACATTGCAATCCGAAAACGTCTTATATAAGAAATTTTGTTAAAACAACGAATAAAAACAAGAGGAGTCATCCCCACCCGATTTACTCATTCTGTAATCTCAAATATTTAGCAGATAACCAGTTCTAAGTTAATAAACTTGATCATTGCAAGGCTTGCTGGAAAAGAAAAATATCAAGTTTGTAAATACAACAATAACAGTCATCCATGCAACGCAACAGTCATGCTTTTCAAGAGGAAAATAAAACTGGAAAAGAATGAACATATTGTAGGGTCCAAGAGAAAAGTGACTAGGATAAAAGTGCTCACCAATCCAATACATTGCCCTACCCAGGGACAGTGATGGTCAAAACGTTCCACGCAGTTATTGCAAATTGAACAGTGAGAACAGCGTGGAGGCCTATACAGCATGCAGGTATCACAATATTTAACTTTTACAGTTATTCCATTGACATTCACTTCCTTGATGCGGGGCAAACGTAATTGTGGAGTTTGACCAGGTCCAGCTTGGGCACTTCCTTCAAAGTTTTCTGGCTCCGGAGGATGAGGATTGCGAGGAATTATACCAGGATCTCTTCCAGATGTTAGTAGAAGAAGGACCAAGACCTTTAGGAAAAAATAACCTATATTACATTCTACTTTGACTCATGAATCCATATTCCCTCTTGGCCAAAGAATAAATTAATAAAACAGTTCAGGAGACAACCCATTTAGTAGTTCCTTTCTGTTACAGAAATTAGCAAGAAACATCAGAAATCATTTTCGTAATACGAATTCAGAAGTTCATCTACTCCAACATGATACTCTGAGAAAAAAAAAAGGAAACAGGCCATCCACGTTCATGTGACAACAGGAAATGATCAGAAAACTGCAAAAGAAAATCCCTAGTGCAGTAAATAGTAAGGAACACAACTTCCATCACGAAACCACACAACATCAGATGTTTGTGGTCCCCCCCAGGAACCAGGTTTTCATCACTACCATCTGTATGCTGTGGTTAGACATCTCTATTCTTTGCAGAAATCTTATATATTCCTTATAGCTAAGCAATAAAACGTCAGTATGATAAAAATTACTGAGGTCCCCCGACACAGTAAAGAGAAAAGGAAGAAACACAGGAATTTTCCAGTAAATGGAAACTCTTCAAGTACAGAAGGAAAGAAAGTATCTGGAAAAAAATCTGTCTTAATTTTATTATTCTCGTGGGAATTGATGAAACCTGCATGCTTTCTATGCAAAGACTTCCACTTTTTCTTAAATAGACAGCAGCATGTTTCCTTGTTATTGGCATTAGTTAGTGACCCTTCTTTGCTCAGTAGATTTTAAAATGTTGATGATCCAGACTACTTTATTAAAAAAAATAAATGATCCAGACTACATTGGTGTCCAGTAACTTATGAAACAATATTCATCCCCATTTAATTGCAGCAACTCATTTTGTTCAACTGAAGAAAATGGCAGAAGATGGGACTAAATTGAATCCACTTCAAAATATAATCTGCATTGTCTATCCAAAATACCTCCAGCCTCTTGTCTAACCAAGCATGACTGACCATTTTATATTTTTGACAAAATTATCCATGCAATCCATATTTATTATAAGTATGCACTCAATCCGTATTGCCTATATTAAAAAGAATTAATACAACTAGAAAAAGATGTGGTCTTACAAGGAGAATTCCTGTTAAAAAGAACTCATGCACTAATGGAGTAGCTAGGAAAGGCTTAGGTTGGTTGAGCAATAGATTGCCAGACTAAGCCAATCGCCAAAGGCATCTAAACAGACTGGAACTAGCATGTAGTCTTTTTGAGAAATAAGTCATTAAGCATGCTCCAGTTTTAGAAGCTAAAGAGATTAAGCTGGTCAAAGAAACCAACTCCCTGACAGTTTCACTTTTGATGAAACTGTAATAGTAATCAAGCTACAAAGTTAAGCAATAGCAGAAGATCTCTTGCATTTAGATCACAATTAGTGAATCATAACACAGTCTTTTTGAGACATTGTCAACATTTACAATTATTGTGCAAACTAAACTTGTTATCACTCATGAATCACTGGACTTGATTTCAAATCCTATGCCCAATTGAATGCAAATGCAAATGCAAAGCAGGAAAAGAAAAGCTAAAGTAAATGAAACTAGTGAAAAAAACCATTATCCGAAAATGGACAAAAGGCAGAACGCTTGCTTTAATTCCCACCAACTAAGATGGCCAACGTAAAACCATATAATATTACAGGCATATAAAGATTTTGGAGTCATGTTTTCAGAGGAAACAGAATATAAGAACTTACATATAATGTAAAAATGACCGCTACGACCATGATAGACCACCCCCAATGACCAGCAAAGTCATCCACAATTTTCCTTGCAACAAAGACGCAAAACACAGCAACTGGGGCAACTATAAGGAAGATAGTCATAAAGAGCGACCTCACGTCAGGCCCAAATATAAACCTTCCTTGAAGACAAAATTTCTGCACAATCAAGAGGCAATACTTGAAACTGAGAAAGAGTAGCAAAATTGTGAGATATGCTATTTAAGACAAACAGGAATACAGAAAACTGTCAAAATTTTGACAACAAACAACAATATAGCTGATTGGGATAACACACCAGGAATACTTGCTGCTCTTTATGGCAAAAGGCATAGAGTAAAGTTCTTTAGTAGCAATACATCACAATCTCATCCACACACAATTAAGTCCGTGAGAAACACAAGAGAAAGTAAACCAAGATAAAATTGAATTGTGATGATTGGTTCAATATAACAGCAACCAGAATATTGAGTCATTTCACGCTTTTGTACGGTCTTAATTAGTATATAAGTGTTTTTTTTTCTCTTTCTTTCTTTCTGATATTATAGTTTTATCTAGAGTTTCGACTTAAGGTATTTGTACATTACTGTTTTAATCCGATTTGTCACATTTTGCAAGAAATTCTGGAAATAGATTGTATAACACCATTTTGTGGGTAGCTTATGGTTCTTTTCCCTTTTATTTCCTTCTTTGCTAAGTTTGGAAGTTTATGTTCTTTTCCCCTTTTTATTTCCTTTTATAAGTTGAGGTAGCTTATGGTTCTGGACCCTTAAGGTAAGTAGATTTTGTTTAGGAGTAGTTATTCTGGATGAGGAAAGGAATTCGGTTTCTATAAATACTATCTTTGTGTTTCTTTTTGATTTTGAGAGTCGGAAAGTACAGAATTTTGAAGCAGTTCCGCTTTTCCTGAATGATCGTATTTACTTCTCATCCTCAGAGAGATACCTAAGGTTACTGGAGCAATTCTTACAACTTTTCTTTCCTCAATTGTGATTTCTCCAGCTCCGAAACCTCAAATTGTAGTAGTACTATTTTCTATAACAGTGTTATTCAGGTAAACTTATGCGCACTTCAACTCCACTAGCAGAACGAGAATGATCACCTGATGTTTTAGTCTCTACTGGAATTTGAACCGTAGTCTCCCCAGGTTCTCATCCTACTTCATTGACCGTTACGCCACATCTTTGGGAGCAACCTCAACCAGATACTGAGCAATTACCTACACCGAATCCTTTATCATTCAATAATTTCCTACCCTTTTCTCTATTAATGCACAACCTAGCAAGATCACTTTCCCATCTTATAATGATTCTGAGAGCATAATATAATTAGCATTCCATTTTTATGTTTCTTATTTCCATTTCTCAATTCACTCAAACAGACTCTTATCTCTGATCCAAACGGCATCAAACTTTTTTCCAAAAGCTAAAATCTACTACGTGTCACAAAACTAACTCCAAAATATCGACTATGAATGACTAATTCAACAGCCAAAAGTTCAAATAATCTGAAAAGGAGGCAATAATGAAATCAATAGTATTGTAGATTTCAATTATCTCAAGCAGTTCAAGATCAAAATAATAAATCGATTCCAATCAATCAAACTCCTACAGAAAATGGAGAAAAATTTAGGCAGAAAAATAAAACATCATACTAAATAAACATTATAAAACCTAAAATATGCTTAAAGTACGAGGAGCTGAGGAAAATAATAGAGTAATTACGTTGCTGCCTTTCCAGGTCTGATAAGCCCGGAGAACCGTCGTACTTTCGACGGCGCCACCGTCGGAACCCGAACTCCTCGGCGGAGCGACTCCATTCATGTTTTTTTCTCTCTGTACGAAATCTCTTAGAGAAAATTAGGAAGAAAAATGAAGAAAGCAGTACAAGTTGAATTAGGAAAAGGTCAACGAAATGAAAGAAGAAAGGAAAAGAAAAAAAGGCGGCTTTTTATTTGTTTATTTTTTCTCAAAACTTTTATTACTACTCCAGTATTTCTTCTGTTTTAGGCTTTTTGCTTTGACTGAATAACTGGCAATAATGTTGACTGCGTCAGCCACGAGGGAATGTGGCGTCAGATCACAGTGACGGCGACACTTCCACCGGTGGTATAATGGGTGGAGTGAATTTCATACAGCCAAGGCCAAATGGACGGCGGCGGCGTTAACGGAAAGTGAGAGATTTAAATGGGATCCAAGTTGGATTTAGATTTAAAAGTGGAGGGGGTGAGTGGCAATTGAAATGATTGAAGACAAGTATTTTGGAATGTGGAAGTGGGGGACGAATTATGGAATCACTTAAATTATGAAATTACTTCATTTTCTCTCTAAAACTTCCAAATTTTTTTAGTGGTTAGGCACTTGGGAGACAAGTATGTCCAATAATAAGATCATTCTTTGTGTGAGAATCATAGCTATAAATGGTAAAAACTTACCCGCACCAGGTGTTTACACCAAACCAATAGATACATGATATGTGTCTTGCATATGGACTTCAATCATTTAACCATGATAAATTATATGCATTCTCATCTAACTAAATTAATTAACCATGGTGAGTTAATATAGTTTGGTGTAAACACCCGGTGTGGGTAAGTATTTACCGTTATAAATTCTTTGTGTGCTAATTAGCTTGTAAGATCATGCGAGTTCATGTAAAACGTGTTATTGTTATAGTTATTGTTGGAAAAATTGGATGATTATGGAGATAAAAGGTTTAGCTTGAGGCGTGTCAAGGATATTGTCCTTAAGGATATTTCGCCCACACCGTGATAAATAAAATTAGGCGTATCCCCCAGGATTCAACAAGCTCTTCTAGTATAACTAGGAGCAGAAACAACAAAGATTTATGAGAAGAAAACCCAGCACAAAGAAAAGGGAAGAAAATATTTTTAGCTTTTTCCACTACTTTTGTGTTACGAAGACAAGAGGCATATATAGTCTAAAGTCTACACAGAAGTAGACTATCTGTGAGGCTATTCATTCAAAGAAATACACCATAAGAAACATTCAAGCCATAAAGGCTATTCCAAAATCCGTTAAAACTTAAGCCATTAAAATTGGTCATTGATTTTCCAAATATTAATGTCATTGACTTTTCAATAACGTACCAATACATACTAATGACCATTCAATTGTCCAATTTATTTTGTCCCAAATTGAGTTTTCAAATTTAACAAATTTTCTGTTACAAATATTTTAAAATAATTACTATTATAAAGGCTTATTAATATAATAGTAAGAAAATGACTCTAGACATAGTTTTAGAATATTTCTTTTTGAGATATCAAAAGTATTTTTCTATCAATCCCCCACATATCTCAGAAAGAATATTAAAAATAATAATCATGAAATAATAAAATAATTTGCTGGGTTTCACAAATGAGTATAATGCGTCGAATCTGGTGTCTCTTGGACTATGAACCAGACCTAGATAAAATAAGATTAAACTTACAGAACAAATGGTGAAGCTTAAAACTTCTATGAACCAAGAATTCTTTTGTAAGTTTAGTGTCTTATCTATCACATTATACCCCCACACACTTTGTTGTTTATCGCGGTTTTGCGCTAATAGGCCATGCGCGCGCCTGGTTTTCATGAGTGCTCTAGAAACTTCGCCACAAATTTCATAGGAGCGGCCCCACTCCACACTCATATAGGTCCATCCATCAAGTGTATTCTGCAGCTTAATACACCACCTATAAAGGGCTATGGATTATTGGATTAAGAGTATAATAACTCAACCTCACATTCCTTGCAGTCTTGCACTATATACGCACACACCATAGGAAGAGACATAATTTAATAGTGCATATTTGATCAACTAATGACTTGTTATTACCCATATGAACCTACTTCATGGGATCTCCAATCACATAGGTTGGGTTACCATCATGGTTGATATAACTCAAATTGGCAAAAGTCCCATTCCCCTCGATGTTTCAGATATTAATTTTCTTCTCAAAGGTTTAGTCAGAGGATTGGCCAAATTCACTTCTGACTTCACATAATCTATGGAAATAATTCCATCTTTCAGCAGCTGCTTTATCACATTATATCTCAAGAAAATGTATCTACTCTTCCATTGAAAGACTTTTTTCTTACAATGGCTATTATGCCTTGGCAATCACAATTCATCGACACAAATGTTGTCGGTTTAATTCCTAGTGGAATATTGTGCTTTGGCAATCACAATTCATCGACATAATTATTGTCGGTTTAACTCAACAAGAGGTTGCTTAATCAACCTCATTGCCAGACAGTTCCAATAGCTTAACAACCACCAAAAGGTGATCACACAACAACTAGCTAGTTTTTTCTCATTTGAATCAAAGATTCAATATCATCACTGTATCCTTCTAATACAGTGGAAGATTCACATACAAAATACTAACTCATAGTATTTCTCAAATAAGGCATAAAATCATTTCAAATGAAATAAAACTTGACTTCTGTACCCATACCTTTTGAAACATCTTTCAAGAAACTTTATGTATCTTCCATAGTCAAGCACCAAAATAAAATTTCTAAAATATAGAAACAACTTTAACTTCTACAGAAATATCTCAAATCAGTAGGAAGCGGATCATAATTCAATGATTTCTTCATCACCCAAATGACTAAGAGATCCGTAATGAAGTAACTTTCGGTGAGATATCAAAAGTATTTTTCTATCAATCATCTCTCTTTACAAGTTAAATAAATGAGTCCAATACTATGGATCAATTGGATGGTCCTGTAATGTATGTATCCACAAGTAAAAAACAACGTTAATGAGGAGTCAAACAATTAGAATCATAAACTCAAGCAAACACATTAGACTTAGCGATACCCAATTTTCTATCTAATGGATCAAATCCTAACTTGGCCATAAATTAAGAGTAAATTTCACTAAACCCCTATGACCTTAAAGGTTGAGAAACTATACCCCTTCTATCTTTTAAATGGGAACGATAACCATCTTGAACTTTACTTTCGCATGAGTAAATTTCATCTAACCTGCTTAACTTTAAAAGATAAGAAAACAATAGTCCTCCACCTTTTGAATGAGATCTAAACCCCTCGAATAGCATATAGGATTTTAATACAAAAAAAAAGTACTGCCGCTTTTCCCCTTTCCCCTTTTTGGTTAGCTTACATAATCCATCAAGATGTTTGATGCCTTGAAATTCCTGTATACTGAGAATAGTTAACTGTATATAGACCATAGTTAGTTGTATTTAGGAGATGGTTAGTCAGTGATATTGTGCTTACAACAACAATCTTTATATGCATGTTGCCTCACATTTTACTTGTATTTTGTGGAAGTTAGATGTGTAATGTAATAATTTATTCTAATTCATAGTATTTTTATGTGTAAGAGTCATCCGGAGGCAATGTGGGACGAAGGTGCACGAGTTGAAACAAAAAGAGAACAAAAGAAGAAAATGGCAGAGTGTAGCACCTAGGCTAGCGCACCACGCTGCCTGGGGCGCAACCTACAAGCGCAAAAATTTTCTGGCGCCAGGGCTAGTACGACGCGCTACCCTGGGCGCTGGGTGACGGGTTTCACTTCTATTTCATTCGGGGTAAGATTTTGACGGCCCTACACACCCCCAACTCGTAGAAAAAGAAGTCTAAACCTATTTTGGAGAGGGAGACGCCACTTTGAGAAAAATCACAAGCACGGAACACCCAGGAGCAAGAATTCTCAGTTTTTCTTCATCTTTCTTAGTATTTTCAACTATTTAACACTTATGAAATTGTCTAACTTTATCATGAGTGGCTAAGAACCTCATTATTCTGGGGTTATGGGTCGTTATTGACTATTGTAGTTTGAAGGTCGATTGTTTTGCTTGGTTTATCATAGTAATTTGTTTATTCAATCTTGCACTTAATTTGCGTGGCTAACAATAGAGTACTATCTACGAATTTATAGTAGAACTCGAAAGTGGGAACTATAGATTGCATATAAGGTTGAATAGTGTAAGTTCTTGAATCCGGGTATCAGAGAATAGATTCACAATTAGGATAGACATATTCTAGTTGCCTTACTTGATTATTTTTGCAGAAAATCCACATGCATTTTTATTAATTGTAATTCTATAAACATATAGTATTAGGTTAGCTTGAATAGGCGAGTGAAACGTCGAAAGAACTTCGCGAGCATAATAAATCCTGCTAGTAAATAAATTAGATAAATCAAGTGAGTAAATCAACCAAAATAACTCAATAGGAGAGACATTAATCCTGTAACCCCGGAATATTTCCATCATATTGAATTCACTCCTACGTGTTTGTTTGCTCTACTTGTGATCTTATTTTCTTACTTTCTTATTAGTTTCGTAGCAATTCAGTTAACAAAAATCACCATCATTTTCTTCACCACCACTTGAGCAATAAATTTATAAATAGTTTAGATTGGACAATAGTTGATCATAAATCCTCGTGAACGATACTTCTCATCACTTTATTACTTGTCGACCGCGTATACTTGCGTGTACGTTTGGACCCAACAAGTTTTTGGCGTCGTTGTCGGGGAATTAGAAATTAGCTACTTGTCCAAAATAAGCTTTTATTTATTTTTGTTCGAGATTTAATTTGTTTGTTGTTTCTGACTCTACAGGTGTTCATTTTGAATGCTAAGAAGAAGTAATAGTTTTAACGATCTTCCGCCTTTTAATCCTGAACTTGAAAGACTCTTCCATAGGTTAAGGAGATTACAAATACATACAACTATCCGAACATCTCTAAGGACTATGTCAGACTGATTTTGTTTCCCTTTTCTCTGATGGGGGGAAGCAAAGGAATGGTTAAACAAAGAGCCTGCAAACTCGATGCACACTTGGGATGATCTAGCACGAAAATTCTTAATCAAGTTTTTCCCACTAAGAAGACAAAGACATTAAGGAGCTAGATTCTTGGGTTTCAATAACGAGATAGTGAGACTCTTCGTCAAGCCTGGGACAGATACAAGAAACTACTCAGAGACTGCCCACATTATTATCCGACTGATGGGGTGTTGGGACATGCTTTTGTGGATGGGTTGGACGAGACATCCAAATTAAATCTAGACTTAGCTTGTGGAGGAACTTGCATGAAAAAGCCATACAGTGAGATGCAAACTCTATTGAACAATTTCACTGCAAACGATCATAACTGGCAAGGTGAGGGTGAACCAAGAAGGATGATAAAATAGAAAGCAGCAAGTACACTTGAACTGGATGAGATGTCAGCCATGCAAGCAGAAATTTCTAAACTAACCAACCAAGGGGCTAAGATGGTAATGGGTCAAGGCCATCAGATGCAGTAGGTTCAGAGCATGGC